GGCGTCAGCTGCTCCTCGGCCGCCGCCTCCTGCACCGCGCTCTGCCACGGGGACAGGGACAGGCGGCCGCGTCACCCGCGGGAGGTGACACCGGGACGGGGACAGGCGGCCGCGTCACCTGCCGGTGGCGACACCGGGACAGGGACAGGCGGCCGCGTCACCCGCGGGAGGTGACACCGGGACAGGGACAGACGGCGGCGTCACCCACCGGCGGCGACACCGGGACGGGGACAGGCAGCGGCGTCACCCGCAGGAGGTGACACCGGGACGGGGATGGGGACAGGTGGCCGCGTCACCCGCCGGCGGCGGCACCGGGACGGGGATGGGGACAGGTGGCCGCGTCACCCGCAGGAGGTGACACCGGGACAGGGATGGGGACAGGTGGCCGCGTCACCCGCCGGCGGCGGCACCGGGACGGGGACAGGCGGCCGCGTCACCCGCGGGAAGTAACACCGGGACAGGGACAGGCGGCGGCGTCACCCACCGGCGGTGACACCGGGACGGGGACAGGCGGCCGCATCACCCGCGAGCGGCAACACCGGGACAGGGATGGGGACAGGCAGCTGCGTCACCCGCCGGCGGCGACACTAGGACGGGGATGGGGACAGGCGGCCGCGTCACCTGGCCGGCAGTGGGACAGGGATGGGGACAGGCATCGGCATCACCCGCAGGAGGTGACACCAGGACGGGGACAGGCGGCAGCGTCACCCGCGGGTGGTGGCACAGGGACGGGGATGGGGACAGGCGGCGGCGTCACCCGCGGGTGGTGGCACAGGGATGAGGATGGGGACAGGCGGCCACGTCACCCGCGGGAGGTGACACCGGGACGGGGATGGGGACAGGCGGCGGTGTCACCCGCGGGAGGTGACACCAGGACAGGGACAGGCGGACGCGTCACCCGTGGGCAGCGACACAGGGATGGGGATGGGGACAGGCGGTGGTGTCACCCAGTGGGGAGGCGGCACGGGGACAGGGATGGGGACAGGCGGCGGTGTCACCCGCGGGAGGTGACACCGGGACGGGGATGGGGACAGGCGGCCGCGTCACCCGCGGGAGGTGACACCAGGACAGGGACAGGCGGCCGCGTCACCCGTGCGCAGCGACACAGGGATGGGGATGGGGACAGGCGGTGGTGTCACCCGGCAGGTGGCTGCACAGAGACAGGGACAGGGGACAGGTAGTGGTGTCACCCGGCGGGGAGACGGCACACGGACAGGCGGCAGTGTCACCCAGTGGGGAGGCGGCACGGGGACAGGGATGGGGACAGGCGGCGGTGTCACTTGGTGGGCAGTGACACGGGGACAGGGACAGGCGGCAGTGTCACCTGGTGGGGAAGTGGCACCGGGATGGGGACAGGGACAGGTGGCGGCATCGCCGGATAGGCGGCAGCACCGGGAGCGGGGAACAGCACCGGGATGGGGACGGGGATAGGGACAGGCGGTGGAGTCACTCGGCAGGTGATGGCATGGGGACAGCGCCACGGGGACATGGGGACACGGGGACACGGGCACACGCGGCGCGGCGCTCACCTGCATGCGCTCCACGTCGCCCGCCAGCTCCTGCACCTCGTGCAGCAGCCGCTGGTAGCGCTGCTGCGGCGTCTCCCGCGCGCCCGCGCCCTCGCCGAGCTGCGCGGCGGCACCGGTGGGGCCGCGGTCCCCGCGGGGACACCCCGGCGCCACGGGGATACCCCGGCCCCATGTCCCCATAGGGACACCCCGGCGCCACGGGGACACCCCAGTCCCACGGGGACACCCCGGCCCCATGTCCCCATGGGGACACCCCAGCCCCGCGGGGACACCCCGGGCCCGTGGGGACACCCTGGCCCCATGTCCCCATAGGGACACCCCGGCCCCACGGGGACACCCCAGTCCCACGGGGACACCCCGGCCCCATGTCCCCATAGGGACACCCCGGCGCCACGGGGACACCCCGGTCCCACGGAGACACCCCGGCCCCATGTCCCCATAGGGACACCCTGGCCCCACAGGGACACCCCGGTCCCACAGGGACACCCTGGCCCTGCGGCCCCATGGGGACACCCCAGCTCTGCGGGGACACCCCAGCCCCACGGGGACACCCCGGTCCCATGGGGACACCTCGGCCCTGCGGCCCCACGGGGACACCCCGGCCCCGTGGGGACACCCCGGCCCCATGTCCCCATAGGGACACCCCAGCGCCACGGGGACACCCCGGCCCCATGTCCCCATAGGGACACCCCGGCCCCACGGGGATACCCTGGCCCCACGGCCCCGCGGGGACACCCTGGCCCCACGGGGACACCCCGGTCCCATGCGGACACCCCGGTCCTGCAGCCCCATGGGGACACCCCAGCCCCACGGGGACGCCCCGGCCCCATGGAGACACTCCGGTCCCACAGGGATGCCCGGGTCCTGTGGCCCCATGGGGACACCACAGCCCCACAGGCACACCCCAGCCCCATGTCCCCATAGGGACACCCCGACCCACAGGGACACCCCAGCCCTGTGGCCCCATGAGGACACCCCATCCCCACACCCCCGCGAGGACACCCCGGCCCCACAGGGACACCCCGGCCCCACGTCCCCACGTGGACACCCCGGCCCCCATCCCTGTCCTCACCATCTCGTACTCGCCGGACTCATAGCCCGTCCGCTTGCTCTTCCCGATGCGGTCGGAGAAATCTGCAGGAAAGCGGGACGAGGGGGCGGTCAGCGCGCCCCGGCGCCCCAACCCCGGCGCCCACGGGCGTCCCGCTCACCCAGGCCCTTGGTGCCCACGCGCTTGTCCTTGAACTTGTCGTAGGCGGCGTTGGGGTTGACGATGAGGTGCTCCACGCTGGCGCTGCTGAGCTCCTCCTGCGCCCGCGGGCCGCGTGAGCGCCGCGTCCCGTCCCGTCCCATCCCGTCCCATCCCGTCCATCCCGTCCCGTCCCGCGGCACGCCGGGCACCGCCGCTGCTCTTACCAGCTCCTTGCGGTGCCCGCGGGGCACGGAGCCGCAGCAGGGGAGCGGGGCGGGAGAGAGACGAGAGCGGCGTCAGAGCGCGGCGCGCCGGGCGGCACGCGGCTCCCGGGAGC